TTTTGAAATAATGAGTGTTTTATGATAAATCAATCACCCTGTATACTATGAGCCTCAGATAAATAACAAATATATTAATATAACAATGAGTAAAACTTAGAAAAAATTTACTTTAAAATGAGATAGTATTTTAATAACCATAGTATATAACAGATACATCGTAATGACAAATTAAGTCATATTTAAAGCTAATCACTTTGCTCGCATGTACTATAGCTTATATCGGTATCTTTTAATATTTGATAACAATATAACATAAACAAATATCAAAATATGTATATTATTTTAAAAACTGTATGTGGTGTATCTGTACCATAATACATTATTTTATACGCATAAAAATATAATATTAATGTATATTAAATGAATTATGATTTATGATGATGACAAAATTTTTAAATAAGTTTATAAAATATTCAACAAATTAATGAAATWTATAGTATCAGTAATTCAGTAGGTATGTATTGTATATTAATAGGTATAAAGTTCAGCGTTTACAGGTACAAAAGCATATAATACCAGGGGGTGCACCGTGCACCCTCGTACTTACTGATCGAATTTATCAACTTATGGGCACCGCGATTTAAGATAATATTAATATACCTTAAAAAATTGTGTTGGGCACAAATCATGTTATTTTAAAACTGAAGCAACCTTTCAATTTAATTTTCTTATGTGTGGCCATACTGTGCTGTTGTCATCATCTTATCAATTATTTTTATTATCAACAATATTAAATTTGTCAACAAATTAAATTTTCAAAAAATAAAAACTTTCTGTATCTTGTTTGCTGTGTTTTGCTTCCTTGTTTTACAATCGTTTTAAAATACCGTTAAAACAGAAAGAAAATGATGAAACCTTTAATTCAATTCAAATTACATTTAATACTTGATTATTTTATTTAATATTATTTCATTTTACAATATTAGTACAACAAACATCCATCAGTAAGCTATTCACTCAAATACAAACAAATTGTGTTGATTTTACAATTTAAAATTTAAATTATATGTTGAATAACAAAAATATTTAAAATTAAATTGCCAAATTTCAATTAATTATTTTATTTTATACTTTTAGTAACATTGTAAAAAAAAWTTATCATATTCATTAAGACCTACTATTTGTCTTAGAAATGTCAGCTGGAGAAGTGGTTATGGAAGTGCCAACAAGTTTAAAACGTCTCGCACGATTGGTTGTTAGAGGTTTCTATACTATAGAAGATGCACTCATAATTGACATACTGGTTAGAAATCCTTGTATGAAAGAGGATGACATGTGTGAATTATTAAAATTTGAAAGAAAAATGCTTAGACAACGCATATCTATACTAAGAAGTGAAAAATTTTTACAAACTAGGTTGAGAATGGAAACTGGCGCTGACAGTAAGGCACAAAAGGTCAACTATTATTTTATAAATTATAAGGTATGTTTGTTAGAAATTACTAATTTTTTAATATACTAATGTTATCAAATATACATTTTTAGTCTTTTGTGAACATGGTCAAGTATAAACTTGATTGTATGCGGAAAAAAATGGAGACTCAAGAACGTAATGCAACAAGCCGAGCCAGTTTTAAATGTGTTCAATGTTTTAAAACTTTTACCGATTTAGAAGTATGCATACGATTATTCTTAGCATCAATTTTAACTTAAATACAATGTAGTTAGATAAACATGATATATTTTCATGAATAGTTGGTATTTAATTTTTATTTTTAATGTAAAAATTTAGGCAGAGTCCTTAAATATTAATTATAATACCAAAAAACATCAAATATTTACATAATATTGTAATATACAGGTGATTCTTTTATCAAACAACACTCATTATTTCAAAAACTATTGACTTTTTTCAAATTTTTTTTTTTTCAAAATTATAGGTAGATCCATCTTGTTCTATTACTATACATTTTTAAAATATTTTCACCCTTATATTTATCAGGTAAACCATTATCAACTTTTGATTTTTAAATGACAACCTATACTTAAAATTTCATAAACTAAAAAGGCTATTTTTTCAATGAATTTTCACGTTTAWATTTTCATTTTTCGTTAATCCGTTTACAAGATATAGCCTCCCAAAGTTGGATAGTTTTGGGTGTTATAGGTGTATGTTAGGTGGTATTTACACACAAACACCATATAAGTGTTGTTTGATAAAAGAATCACCCTGTATACTAAACTAAACTAATAAACCAATCTAGTTCAAAAAGTTTCACTGCTGGGAAACTAAATTTTAGTTTTAACTGCTTACCATGTCTTGTATTTTCTATTCAAATACGCTTATTGTAAATTGTTATTTTTTTATAAATGTACCTATCTATATATTCTTAATAGATGTTATAAAAAAAATAGGTCATCTTATAAATTATATGTTATTCCTTCATATTATTTACTGTGAAAAACTTGTATGTAATTTTTAAATGAAAGGGGTTAGGTTAAAACCACCTTAGTCAAATAAAATTAACACTTTTGCATGGCCAACTTTGTGGATATAAGGAGTTTACTAAACAAATATACAAACATTTAAYTTTATAGGCGGATATGTTATTTGATTTCCAAACCAATGAATTCCATTGTACTTTTTGTGGGGAGTTGGTTGAAGAAGACACTTCGGTTCTACCACAACAAGATTCTCGTGTAATGTTGGCTAATTTCAATGAAGTTGTAGAACCTTTTTATTCAATACTTCGTGAACTAGATGGTATCCGCCTAGCACCAGAACTTCTTGAACCTGAACCTACCCGTATTCTGGGGTACATGCACTATAATAATAACTATAATAACTTTAATTGGGATACTTTATATTCAAAAACACCTAAAACAATTTTAAATTATTATATTAATTTTAATAGACTAGAATCGGCAACATCACAGTCTTCTGGCAGTAAACAAATGAATGGTATGGAACGATGGGGACCTGATAAAATGCGAAATTTGGACTCTAATAGTTCTAAAATGGAAGTTACTATTGGTGAAGACCTTCAAGACAATCGTCCAGTTGTCAAAGAACGGCCTATATGGTTAACAGAAAGTACTGTTGTAGAAAATACTTCTACTCGAGTAAGAAATAATTTTTCATATTTTTATTTATTTAAATTAATTAACTAATAAAATAATTCATAAGAAAATACATAGTATTTGTTTTTGTAATGTACTATATTTTTTTATGATTTGAATTTGTATCATTGCTTTATTTTATTTCTAAGAGTTTCGACCTATTGTTGGCAATATTAGAGTTTTAAATGTACAAAACTATTAATTTTTTTTTGTGTGATGTAATGGTTTACAACAGGGAATGGAAACCCACTGTCTTCTCAGCAATGTTATGCAGCTTGCAAGTAAAATTTATAATTTGTATGAATATCACAGCCTACGATAGTATGGACTGYAATTTGCAGATTAAAACATACCTATGGATATCTTGTTAAAATAATTAACCTAACTATTATAAACCTAAAATTAAACTAAATTTGATTTTATCTATAGTAACATAAAATATTAATTGTGTACTACACAACTTAAAGTTATTAAATTGATTCTCGATGACATATATTATTATGTTGAATTTATCCATGGTTATTTTTTTATACTTTCCTGGACTTTAAATAGATTATTGTTTGTGACAACATCTAAACTACCCCAAGCTGATATAATATACCTTAGAATCAACTAATTCATTGCAAAATAAAAAATAATTTTTTAATTACTATGACTAAATGCTGGTCAATATTAATTCCTCGATATAAATGTTTTTTGATGTTTGTTAAAATTATTTTACATTTTTWACTCTAAATTATATTTTGTTTTGTCTAGGCCTGAGTTTAACTTTCAATACCATAAAAATTGATRAATGTTGTATTATATTTAGTTATATTACTTTGTTGTTTTCAAATTGTGTTTTAGTAACTATAGGTTCTACTCTCTGTATGAATATTTGGAAAATATATGAATTGATACATTGATTGTGTTTAAATACTTTTAAGGATTCAATTGAAATGGAGACTAAAGATCATACTGAAGAAGCTCCACTTGAATTCACTCCTGATGTAGATATAATGACTGTCTTATTGCAACATGAAAAACGTGCGGATCAAACTGATGGRCCTGGTAAGAAAAGTGGGCAGGACGCAGATTCAAGTGATGAAGATTTTTCAAAAACTATTAAGAATGAACCATCTCTTGGTTCAGGTAATAACATGTTACTAATTAATAATTATTCAAGAATGTTTAATATTCTATTTGGGAATTATGGAAGATATGTATTAAACATCAAAATACAATTTTTTTATAAAATTAAATGAATAATTCTGTAATTTTGAAAAAAAATCCATTATTTGCGGGGTTAATAAGCAAATTCATCAAAAACTCAATTTAGTATTTATATTTAAATTCATAAATAATCATTTTAGGGGTTGAAGAGCTCACATCAGAAGAAGAAGAGGATGACGAAGACGTACCTTTAGTAAGTGTTGCTGGTCGTCGTGTACCAATAACAGAAGTAGTGAATATGACAGATGCYATCAGTCAAATGACACCATCCGAAAAAGAACATTACATACAAGTTTATCAAGACTTTTTCTCTGCGTTGGGTGATTAAATGTTCTATAACGACAATTAGATTGTGATACTAAATATTATAATTATGATGGTACAAAATAAATGTATGTTTTGTTCTAACTTCTCATGTAATTCTTGTATGTAGAATACAGATTATATTAACTACTTTATTGAATGGATAATATATTTTTGTATCAATAGTTTTAAATTATAATGTTTTGTTTATATAGTATTATAAGTAACCTAATAATAGACTGTACTTTTTCTCTTTTTTTACTTTGATAAATTGATAAAATTGAATGTAACCCACGGATTAATTTAAGAAATTGTTCATGATTGTTTCAATTTATACTTAAAATACCATAAGTCCATAAAACACAATTTAGTATTTATAAATTTATAATCATGGATGGAAATATGAAATATATAATAATATATATGCTTGTCAGTAAGTTATTATTGCTGTGTATTCGCTTAGAACAATATTAGAGCTATATATTGTTATATTTATTATAGTTTTCTATAATTGTTTAATTAGTAATACACCTAATTATACCTAGTGTCATGGGTAGACATTTTTCTAGAAAAGTAGAGTTACATACATATAAAAATATAAACTTTTTATACATTTAATGCTTACATTTTAAAAGTAATCTATATTGACTTATTTGGAAAACAAATTTAAAATTTTAGTAGAGGRAAGCGCAAGTGCTCTGTCTTGAGTCTTGACGCCAATGTCTAGTGTATATTACGTGTGTTCTTACTAGTGCTCCCAGGAAGTTTCAATAGTGGGAGGAAGTAATAATTTGTATTGCTAAGTGAAAGCATATACAATTTCAAACATTTTACTATAATATTACTTTGAACATAGCTAAATAGTTAATATGCAATTTTAACAACAAAATATATAAAAATTGGAATTTAAAAACAAAGTTAATGCCGAAAACACAGCTAGTAATTTTAGAGTATAGGTAGTACGAGTACACTAGAGTACTAGACTCAAGGAATGTCCAACAGGTTGATCGCGACTACCATTCATCTTTTATCGGTATTAAGAATAAAAACACAAAATGTTATATTATTATACGTGTATTGCACGAATCAATAAATAAATTAAAGARTTTTAATTCTAACAAAAATTATTTCATTTGTTAGGTCTTTCTGATACATATATATTCACGAATACGGAAATATAATAATAGTGAAGAATCATCGGGTTAGCTTAATCACTATAAGAAGTATCCTTCCACGCCTTCAGATTTAGTGTAAAAGTATGACAATCGATTTGTCTTGTATTAGTTCTGTAAAACATATCGAGTCATTTAATTGAATTGGTACATTATATTTTCGTTTCAATATCATTCTCAACATGAAATTTCATAACTCATTTTACAATATTYAAGACAATATTATATCATTTACCTTCTGTCGAATGGCATAAATATGTTTTCCGGTAAATACCGTAGATTAGACGTCGCGCATATTACACTGCCAAAATTCACGTTTTTCAATGTGTGTATTTGCTCTGAAAATATAACAATTAACATGTATACAGGTATTTTAAACTTATATACACCGCATACTTATAAAATATTAGCATACTATAACTATATAATCCCTCGTTTAAGTTTATTTATGTACAGTCTAATGTAGGACTGGCGTTTAAACTTTTGTTGATATCAGTGTTTGATTAATGCCCACGGTAATTACGGTATTATCGGTTACATCTTACACGGTATTTTCGGTGATACCCCCCAAACCCCCAGCCAGTCAAAAATAAAATGGGAATTCTAAAAATAGTTGTTTTGTCCCAAAAACAGCTATATAGATAATAGATACTATCTTTATTCGTGATCCTAATAGTTGTTCAATTATAGGCATAGTAAAAAATTAATTAACTTATTRAAATATGCGTTGATACAATTATTAGAATATAATATAATGTAACATGGATAAAAACTAGTTTTAATAGAATCTATTAATATTTTATATTACATATATAGATGATATTATTATAATTCTTATAAGTTATAAGCATTTATCAACGATTAATCGTAACGCTTTTTTTCCCAACATTGTAACAATGCCTACCCGGCGTAAAGCTTCCAGGTTGTCCTAGTATGTCGTAAAAGAAACGGTCACCAATCTTTTGCCGGTAAAAATTGTCAGCTATTATGCACCGGGACGTGAGACCGATCTTTGAACCTTCGGCGGGTATTTCCAATARCGCACCCACGATAAAGTCGATGTCGTCCACACAAGAGTAGAGGTTTTTCAATTTTTGGATGTCCTATACGTCGGTTAATAACAGTAATATAATTATACATATTTAATTGTTACATGACGAATGTGATAATTGTGCGATCAGCGSGGATCTTAGAGACAAAAAAGAGCATCAACCTCGTAAGCGATCAAATCGATTAGGTCGTCAAACTCCGTAGCTTCTGGAATTCCGCAAACCGATCTCATCTTGTTATAAGGTGGCATCCCGGTGTCACGACCTCTTTGTATATCCACCGACAGCAAATCACTGCCACTGAATTTCGGTGTAGCTTGTTGGAATAAACAGTTTGAAATCTGTAATGGGTAATATAGCCGAACATAATTTACCTATAAACTTAAATTATTTTATTACCTACAATAATAAGCATGCAGGTGATAAATTCGGGTTGGAAACAATACATAATACGATAATAATATTATACTATTATAGTCAACAACGATTAAGGGGATCGGCGGTGGACAGTTATTTTTATTACCTATATGTCTAATTGAGATTGGTCAGTCCACTTTTTTCAATTTCATTCCCCCCAATAACTATAAATTTAGCTTGAATATTTTGAAATTTTGGAATCCTAAAACATCGATTACTTGGAATTTAAATCAAAAAATTGAACTAACCGATCTTTAGAAAATATYATAACGAATCCTGATCAGTGGTCTGAAATATTATCAAATTATTAAGTCGATCCTTTTCGGGCGAACAAAAGTATACACAAATTAACATAAATTGTTTACCGTTTACGTGCAGTGTGCACAGTGCACAACACCAAGGTATTGACATACTATGTTCATTATACATGCGTTTGCGGGAGCGCTCCGCTATTTCTTTTACGCACAGTCACACACACTTGCTGATGATCTCACATTCTCACATTTATAAGACCCATCTCATAGATTTGAAAATTTCCTATTTTGAACTTCTTTAAAACTGTCCATCGTCTATTCCCTTAACGAGTATTTTAAGCAACTTTTTATTTCACGGTATAGGAAATTATATACCAAAGTATTGTAAGACGGCTGTTCTTCACGGGTAGGCGTTTCTTGAAATCCACGTAGCAGATTATCAAAGTTGTTCGGTAATGGTAGAAGATCGGGCTTGTTCATCCAGTCGGTGAGCAAAACGGGACTGCAATTGAAGTAGTTTTTATCTATAAAACTGGCGGAAACAATGCGTTTATCAAGAGATGATAATATAATTTTTTGGATGGTCATTTAGTTAAGAGATATCAAACTACATCTAATCTAATAATTCAATAMGGTATAGAGACGTGCCCTATCAAACATTCTGAAATACTATATCGTTTGTGTAGGTAGGCATACTGAACTACTATAATGGTATGTTATTTTTTAAATGTTTAGTTGGTTATAGTGATTAGTGAAAGTGAATTTGATTAAATTAACATTATGATGTGTGACAATAAAATAACGAGACTCTCTAAATATAACCTAAACGTTATCTAGAAAACGCTTACTGAAATATGATTAGAAAACATTTATCTAAAATTACTATAAACCCTGATGAAATCGGTTCGTTTTCTTATACGTTAGTATAGCCTTGTTATTAGTGCGAGTTCGACTATATTGCCGAAAAATGTTAGGCATAAAATTCGAACAACGTRTTAACATTAAATTTTTTTGTGAAATTAAAAAAAAATTGCCGTTGAATCGTTTCATATATTATGCGAATTTTATGGTGAAGAACGATTATCAAGAGTTTGCGTTTTTGAATTGCACAAAGAGAGAATGTCGAAGATGATGATTGTTCTGGACGTCCTACGTCCTACCACGCCTTCAACAAACGAAAACGTTGAAAAAATCGACACAATTATTCGGAAAGRTCGTCGATTAAGTGTTAGAGCTGTAACAGAGATGGTAAATATTGATAGAGAAAGTGTTCGTAAAATTTTAGTTGAAAATTTAAATATGAAAAAAATGTGTGCTAAATGGTCCCTATAAAAGTTTGACGGTTGATCAAAAATTCAATCGCAAAGAAATTTGTTCAGACACCTTAAAAATCATCAAAGACGATCCATCTTTTATAAACAATATTATTACATGTGATGAAACATGCATTTTTACGTATGATACTGAAACTAAAAGGCAATCCATGCATTGGAAGACAGTAAGACACCAAGTTTCCCAAGAATGAAGAAAGCACGAATGAACAAGTCAAAATTCAAAGCAATTCTCATTGTTTTCTTTGACATTAAGGGAATAATTATTTTTGGAATGGGTTCCTAGTGGGCAAACAGTTTACCAATATTATTGTAAGGAGATATTAATTAAATTAAAAGAACATATTAGAAAGAAGTGACTAAATCTGTGGAAGAATGGCTGGGTTCTTCACCAAGACAATGCTCCCAGCTCACAGTGCATTTTCAATTCAACGATTTTTAACTGAAAAAAATATTTTTATACTTCAACATCCCCCGTATTCGCCAGACTTTACTCCTTGTGACTTCTTCTTATTCTCAAAAATTAAAAGTTTATTAAAATGGAACCAATAATTTTCAAACGGTTGATGACGTAAAAATGTAAACGGCAGAACTTCTAAAAGGGCTGACTGAAAGCGATTGGCAATATTGTTTTCAAGAATGGCAGCGACGTATGCAACAGTGTGTTGATGATGAGTGAAGGTACTTTGAAGGTGATAATCATTAAATTATAAAATTTTAAAAATAAATAACTTTTATTAAAAAAGTCTCGTTATTTTATAGTCACACCTCGTATTTTTAATTTAATTAATTCTAACAAGTATTCCAATTTTATCATAAGATATTATATTTTAATTCTATGCATAACATGACATCTTGTCATCATGAAWTCACGATTATAGCTAATGCTCTGGTAGTCTAATATGAGGTGATATGGTACTATATTATAATAGTTAAACATTCCAATATTAGTGTTCTATTGATACAATCACGAAAACCCCCGACGTTTGGTTGGAACGAAAAATTCCAGTAGTATAGGAACGTTTTTGAACTAGAACTTGTGGCACGATTGTGCAATCTCCTTATTGCCTACTAGAATACTATAAAATCCTAATGCTATGTAAAAGTCATACACGATTTATTATGTAAAAATAATATAACTTAAATGATACGTCCATCGATTAATTATAACTATTATTAAACAGTGGTTAATAAAAAATAAAAATAATAACCATTTAACTCATATACGTTTCGTTGTAGTTAAAATGAATCTAGTAAAATGTATGCTTTTCATACTTCGTAATCATTATCTATAAATTCATATAGAAATAATATAGTTACTTTAAGACAGAAGGGATTTCCTTATGGAGTATCCGGAATGCGCCWGTCGAATGCTCTAGAGTCGTGCCCGGATTCACTGTTTCGTCGTATTCGGTTTGTTCGAAAAAACCGTATGAATACATAAAATATTCTCCTAAAACATTTAAATTGCCCTCAAACAATGCAAACCCCGTAAACATTACATTTTTTAGTGCCTACCTATCAAAATCGGCAGATAATGGGTGTATGTGATATGTTGAATGACGGCGATTACGATYCTACGCGTTTCRTGGTAAATGTCTTCGTCACACCAAAACGAATTCAAACGGTGCAAGTGAAATGCAACAATATTGTGGAATCTCAAAAACATGTTTTGGAAAAGAGCGATTCCTAGGTTTTGATTTACCCGACTGTCACCTAAAACGCAAAATATAAATTTTACATCATAAACGAAACTTTTCAATAARATTTATTAGATATTTCGATGATATTACAAATAATCGTACCCGCGACAAAACAAATAAATGGAAGTGTGTCACATTGCTTCGACGTCCAATTCCTTTGCGGACAAAATTCTTGTTGRCCTACGTAAAAGTCCGATTTTAATCGACCGTCTCTAAACGACCGCAAGTCTGCAGCGTGTTCCTCATCGGAACCGTATATTTGGGAACCATCKATGAAATGTGTTGCCTCGACCATCTGAAAATCGTTTGTGATTGTATAATATAGAATATTGAAATGTTTAGTATTAGTGTAGGTTTCCTAAACTTTGGGAATACGTGGTCTGAGTATGTTATTCATCCGAYTTTACTTGTGAACTTTTTAATTATGCCGAATAATATTATATTTAAAGTGACTGTATTGACATTGACATAATTTTTTTTGAATGATGGTTTAATTAATAATTAGTACCTAATTATTAAACCTATAAACGTTTATTATTTTCAATTTATTTAATGTTTTCGAATTTATAATTGTAAAATACTACAATATAATATATTATTTCTAGAAAAATATAAAATATTTAAGTATAACTGTATAAGTATTTTCATTTTAAGATGATAATACAATGATGACTGTTTACTCAATTTAATTTMAAAATATATTCAAAAAAATGTACGAAAAAGATACACGATTCGTAGTGATCAAAAAATGCCTTTTCATGTCTTATCTGACTATCTGTACAATTAAAAAGAAACATATCTGCAATATCATTATAAAATGCATAT